CCTCATTTGTCCCTCTGGTTCACACGATCCATGACCATCTGTGCCAAGATGATTTTCAGTATGCCCATCTCTTTTGTTCAGACGACTTTCAGATCCTATGGCCTCAGTTCTTGTGACAAAGATTTCAAAATGTTTATTATTACTAGCATCCCCCATCTGAAAAAGCTTCACTTGTTAATATTCAACTCAAACAGTTTGCCTGAGTTTTATCAAATGCTCCAGGGAGGACCATGGCAGCAGGTGCACCATCTCTTAGTTCTGAATGCTAGAGTTCTACCAGTGTGTTTAAAGGTGTATGAACCTGGTTTAAAGGGTAATAAGCATTCTTTGATAATGTCCCCTAAACCCTCTGCATCTCTTTCGTGGGAATATCTGCTTAATTTTCTACACGTTGTTGATCCTGCTCTTCAGCATCGTATAAATTGTTTACATTTATCTCAAGATAGTGTTGGTTCCCTCCTTTTTCAGAGTTCTCATAGACAGTCCTCCTCTCTCCCTAATAGCTGAAGGCTATAGTTTCTTTTGAGCATCATTGAAGTATAGGAAGCATTGACTTTGGTGTCTGCCTTCACTGGTCACAACTGTGTTGAACCCATTAATTTTATTTGAAACTAGTGTTAAGCTAGTTGTTAATTTCTTTAAAACTAGTGTTATTTCTTTAAAAGAAATTTTTTTATTACCATACATGAAAATGCCAACTGCCCTTAGAAGAAAAACGCAAACACAAACAGAAGCAAAGCAAATATATTACATTCTAGAAAACATACAGTTGCTTGTCCAGGGCTTTATTTTAAAGGGGACATTAGAAGTTTAGAGATGTGTTTCAGGCATTTTTAATCAAAATAAAATTCAAAAGCCAAGAGTTGGCTGAAAATAAGGCTGTAGCTGAAAATCAAGGATTTTAAACCCCTATTTAGGCTTAAAATCTTGAAGGGGGAATAACATCCCCTCTGTGTGATTCATGTTATTGAATGAGCCACCTGGACCACATGGATCCCAAGTGACATTTGTCCTGCACTTTGGTGAGACATTCTTTTAAGCCACTGATTTAAAGATCCCATTTTGGCAAGTAACGTTAGATCCAGGGTACACACATAGATCGACTTCTCATTCCCATCAAATAAGAGACTGCGTAATTCCCTTTGTGAGGAGGGGAAGGAAAATGACCTCTTATTTTCCCTGACGACTTTACTGAGGTAATTTCTGGTTTACAGGTGAGACGGGTGGAGATTGGAGAACAAAATGCTTTGTTCTGGGCAGCACCTTTAGGGGTGAGGATTCCAGGCTTGAATCTTCAACTTCTGGCTTTCCCCACCCCCATCTTAAGAACAGATGTGAAAACTTGGAAGAATTGAGAAATTCATCAACTGGAAAATTTTACTGTACTCCTACCTGCTTACCATCCCAAAAAGACTGAGTCTGCTTTCTGAAGGTGATTAAGCTTCCTTATTTCCACAGAACTGCTATTGATTCTACTGTGCAGCCCGATTTGAGAATCAACGGTTTGTAGCAGAAGCACAGGCGTTCCCATGGTAGCTTTTATGCAGATGGACAGCTCAAATGGGTGATTCTTCTCTGAGTCGGTCCCAAGGCTTCCATGTAAAGTGGCTATAAATTCCACCTCTCCCCTAATGGGAGGTGGTCCTGGATGGTTCTGGTGTATCTTTCAAGATACCTATTTATCCTGCTTATTGCTCAGTGTCTGAGCATCCCACTAAAGCCAGGGTCCCTTTCCCAGGAGACATCTACACCACTGACTCCCTTGTGGCTCTTATCTGACTGTGTCCAGTTTATTCCTCCCGAGATTGCCACTCTCTAGGAGAACCCTGACCGGAAGGAGTGAAGTTTGTCTCAGATACAACACAATGAGGGTGAAGACAAAATACTGAATAGGAAGAACAAGTCCTGGGAGGTCAAGGGTGCCGAGGGCAAGTCTGGAGGCAGCAGGAAGCTCAACCAGTGGATGAAGTGGAGAAAGCAGGGGAGAGAGGGCGTATGGGGAGATGCCCTTATGAAGGATCATCAGCCTATCTCTTAGGCTTTCCAAGAAGGATGTGGATTGGCTAGTTTCAAAGAAAACACGTGCAAAGCAGGGAACTTATTGATGTGGCTCTGGTGTTGACCCGTGGGTATTACTTGGTCAGCTGGCTTTGGATGGGTAGGATGAGAAACAAGTGGGCTTTATTGCAAATGACCACATAGGAGAGGAATTTTTAAGTAGCTCAAAGGTGATGGGTACCACTGGGCTTCAAAAGACTTATGTCAGGCCTAAAAATGGATGCCTAAAATTTGTGAACACTGGTGTAGATCACTCTTTCTAGATAGGAGAGGAAAAAGAAAAAAAAAAAATAGCAGCAGCCCAGGTAAATGAAGTGACTTACCCAGGACTGGGGGACGAATACAAATTGGAAATAAAAGGCTTAATTCTCCCTGTTGGAAACGAGAGATTCCCCCATGCCTGCCTTTTCTTGGAGCAACTACTTTAGGAAACTTTCTTCTTTTTCAGTCTCTTTGAAATGCATATAACTCTTTGTAAAACTAAGAAGCCTCTTACCACCAGTGTGGGTCAGGAATGCCTTTGTCAAGGACCTGGGAACCATCTCATTGAAATATAATGGCAAAGAAGACAACAGGGTCTACCAGTCTCTGTGAGGGGTAAGAGCCTAACTTCAGCAGATGCCTTGCTCCCCAACTGCCAGTTGTATAGTACATTCTGTGCAGCGGGTATCACTCCAAAATTGCTTTATGTTTCAGATGTTAAGCAATTTGCCTGAGGTCACCAAGTCAGCCAACAGGAAAACCAGGATTTGAACTGTAGGTTGAAAGTGATAAAGCAGCAAAATATTGTTGAGAGCCACAGCCAAGTTGGGATGGCGCATGGCATTTTGCCAGAAGGAGTGGTTAAGAGGTGACACCAGTGAGCCATTAAGATGATAATTGCTGTGACTGGATTGAGTTGTATATGGACCCTGCAGTCCATATACAATAGGGCGGCTCCAGGAATAGGGCGGCTAGGGAATAGGGCGGCTCCTGCTGCCTCGGGTGGCAGCTACTTTGGAGTTGAGTTCTCCGGGTGGAGGTTGAGAGAGTTCCTGGGAAGTGCGCATGGAGTGCTGGTGGAGTTCGGGCAATAAAGTAGTTCCTGTTTGAACCTACAAGTACCTCATGGCGGCTTGGTTATTTTGTGCCCAGCCAGACTGCAGCAGAATATCCCCCACTGTCCCCACATGTAGGACACAAAGACACTGATAAAGAAAATGCTTAAGTTCCCTGGAAGCTGGCCTAAAGCAGGCATGCAGTGTCTGTGGGGTGAGGGGCTTACAGCCCAGGTCTGGAGCCCCCTGGGGCTGGGTGTGAGCAGTGGCTGCTATTACAGACCTGGGGCCTCACTTGTGGACTTGGGATAACAACAGCAACAGTGCTGGGATCCAACATTGATTGAAGCTAACTACAGCCTTGATTTTCCTCATCTCTGAATTAGGAATGACAAGAATAATGATGATTTATGAAATGATAAAATTTATAAAATGATGATTTATAAAATCTCTGTTCTAAGAGATATACACACCTTAGTCTTCCTCGTTGGTAGCTTAGAAATATCAACAATAAATGATATGAACCATTTAGTGACCACTTAAAGGACATAAGTGCCTGGTCTATGGGATTCATCCACACATCTCAGATTCACTCCCCTATGGATGGAGGGTAAGGAATCATATCGTAAGTGACAGCTAACATTTACTGAGGATTCGCAGTGCTATGGGTCCTCTTCTGAGAATGCTCTGTTCAACCAGAAGACGCCCAGCCTCCCTCCTGCCCTGCCACTCCCCAGTGATGTCTTCCTCCCCCCCCCCCCAAACACCTGATCTGCTCAGCCAGATGGCTCCTCAAACAAAGCGCAGTGCTGTCCCACCTCACAGACTGCTGAGACTTGCCTTCTGCCAGGCACGCCTTTCCCTGTGTGACTCACTCCCTGACTCCTGTCACCTCCCTACTCACACATCCTCTCTGGTGAGACATCCCTGTCCACCCTGGTTAAAGCCAGGGTCTTTGATGGTGCCTGGAACACAGCAGACAAGCAGCAAGTGCTTGTTTGATCCATGTTTAGTAAATGGGTAGCGACTGACACAAGGTGCCCTTTGGAATTGGGTCCCCAGGGTCAGCCTTCTAGCTATCATCTTTAACAGACCTAGGAATGAATGCAAAAGCCCTCTGGAGACCCACGAGATGGGCACCCCATACGAGGATGCAGAGCTTGGAGTGTTTGAAGGTGGAAGGGGCAGCCTTGCTGCCCAACCCCAGAGTGGAGGGCAAGGGTGGTCTGAGGTCAGTGGGAGACAGTGGGGACAGCAGAGACCTTGGCAGGGAGGCAGGGGCATTTCTGGACCTCAGGAGACTCACAGGACCTGAGGACCTGGCCTGGGTCTTTAACACAATCCCTCTCATCCTTGTTAGCAGGTGAGGTCCCCCGAGGTTATCCTGTACCACTTGACACCCACTTATGCACTAATCTGCTCTGCAGGAGGGGTGGGTAGAGTCTGGCGCTGCCCCGGTGCTCTAGATGCCTGTGCCCCCCAGGCTTGACCCCAGCTCCCATCCCCAGTGACCCCTGGAGTACAGACTGAGCCGTGGAGCCTGAGGACAATCTGAAATCACCACTTTTATTTTTTTGGCAGGCCTTGAAGGAAGGCCAAGACAGGATGGAAGGGGTCTTACTGGCCTAGGGGGACATTGGGGCCAGCTCCACCTGCTGCTCCAAGTCCTCTTCGTTGCGGGTGGAAGGGAGCTGGTGGCCAGCCTGTGGGCAGTGGAGGTCAGGCTGAGGTTCCCGGTGTCCTGTGAGGCACCCCACATCCGCCGCCCCTGCCCACCCTGCTCTGACGCCCTCTCCAAGGGCCTCCAAGGACCCCACGGCTCCCCTCTACGGACTCCGCCTCTGCCTGCCTCCCCCTGCTCCTACCTCTTCTCTGCGGACCTCAGGGACTTTGGCACTCCCGGTTTGTCCCTCGAATTTCTCAAACTCCGCCTTCAGCCTGCGGGGACCAGGCCGAGGAGCCGAGGGCGAAGAGTGAGAGTCAGGGGGGCGTTAGGAAGCCAGAGACGGGTCCAAAGACCCCGCAAGGGGCACCCACTCACCCAAGCTTCTCGGCAGGGGCGCCCTGAACTTCCCTGGCCGAGAGCAGCCGTTGCTCCACCTCCTGCAGCCTGGCCCGAAGCATGGTCCCTGTGGGTGGCAGGGCATCAGCGCTGCGCCCACTGCTGGGGTCCCCACCGCCCACCCAGCTGCAGGCTCACTCTCTGCCAGCAGCTGCTCCTTGCTGCGCTCTAGAATGCCAATCTCCTGGGCCAGTCGCTGCTCCAGCATCTGCGGGGACAGAGGAGACCTGTCACTCGTCTGTTCTTGGCTGCATCTCCCACTCTCTCCTTTTGTGCTTCTGGCACAAAAGATCTGATGACCAGGCTGGGTCTTTAATAAGGTCCCTCTCATCCCTGTTGTCCAGACCCTTACCTACCCTAGGCCACTCGCTCATACCCTTATTAACTCGACCTGCAGTTTCTGGGTGGCTGGAGACCTACTTCCCCCCGAGGGCAGCCCTATGTCCCTGTGTATCTCTCATTTCTCCCGCAGCCACATGGTCCTCTATTCTGTTTGCTGTTCATCAAACTTCTCAAAAGTCCCAGGCAGAGTTCCGCCTCAGGGCTCTGCACCAGGCTTTCCTTCTGCCAGGAACACCCGCACCCACACAGTGCCGGGCTTTGTCCCTCACTCCCTTCAGTTCTGCGCTCAGATGGTCCTGCTCAGAGGCCTTCCCACTGGTACAGGGCCTGTCCAACCTGCTTCCTTGGTAGGATTCTGGGTACGCTCCAACCAGCCAGTTTGGGGTGGCAAACACGGGTTCACCACAGCCTCTCTCTGCCTGGGTGCTGCCCGAAGCACCCATTAACACCTGGAGGAAGGCTTTCTCCAGGTTCCCATTTGCCACCGCCAGGTGAACTCTCTCTAGGTGAGCAGGAGGGAAGCAGATCTGCAGGCTATGGCGACAATCCCCAGGGATGCTGGACGCGACGGTGGTGCGTGGTGAAAAGTGTCCAGATGTGAGGGGAAAGGTGAGCAGAGTCAGGGACTATCACATGGCATTGGGCCTGAGTAGGGGCGGGCGCTGGGCCAGTCCGCAGGGACACTGAAGCAAGGGGGGGAGTGGCTTTGGTTGCAGGCAATCATGGCTTACATGGAACTCCCAGAGGTCCTTGTGCTGGTCCATCAGATCCTCCAGCTGCTCTTCCACATCCAACCTGAGGACGGAGACCCAGGAATGAGATCCCAGGCTAGGACCAACACCCAGCGTGGCCGGGTCTGGGGCTCCTCATGCCTAGGCCTTCAGACCACCGCCCCCTGCTCTCTGCTGGAGTCCCTTCGTGGGCTTTACCCTCCAGCCTTGGTTCCAATGTCTCCTCTTCCAATAAACATTTCCTGAGGCAAGTCCCACTCTCACTCCACCCAATGGCCCTCCAGACTCCAGGCTTTGGAGTTACCCCAGGTTTCTCTCTTTGTGATTCTGAAATCAGAGAGTTGTGGACAGGAATGTGCTCCTGCATCATGTGCTTCCTGAGAAAGACCACCTTCAGTCATATTCTCTGACTGAGCCCCTCTCTCCAGCAGGAGTGGGGGTGGGGCACCTCTTCACATTTACCCACTGCCTTGCTTCTGTGGAAAGTGACCCTTCATGGGCCTCTGTCAAGACCACCACTCTGCTCTGCCTGTTCCCAACAGAACTGAGCCTTCCCAAGAAACTTTATTAGGGGTGTGGTAGTTTAGTAAAATGGATTCTAAAATCCTGACTTGAAGCCTACATATTCTACTCCACTGTGACCCTGGACAAGTTTACTTATTCCTTTTTCCGGGTCTCACTTTCCCCATACATAAAAGGTGCTACTGGTGTATTGTGAGGATTAGGTAAACAAATGAACATAAACATTCACCAGACTGCATGTAGTGTGGTAAGCACACATGCATTAAGTACCTATTATCAAGTTTCTCTATGCAATTAAAGTCATGGTGTCCTGGGACATGGGACTTTTTTCATAGGATGGTGCTAAGTAAGATTCGAACAGAAGAATGGATGAACAGTTAACTGGATGGATGAGTGGTTGTAGGAGAGATGGTGAGTGGAGGGATGATGGTTCAATGGAGAAATAATGGAAGGACTGTGGAAGGATGGATAGATCTTTGGATGGGTGGCTGGGGAAGAAATAAATGGCTAGATGAAGGGATAATGGGAAAGGTGTAGAGGGGATGAATGCATGGTTGGATGGATAGAAGAGGATTAGAGGGAGATTGAAGGTATGGCCACTGGACGCGATGCAGCTGGCTCTCTGGGTAGGTGAAGGGATGAATGAGTGAGCGGAGGCGGGGCAGATGGACAGGCAGGTGAAATGACGACTGGGGACCTAAAATGAGCAGATAGATAAATGAATGGATGGATGGAAGAGCTGGATGGGCCATAGGGAGAGACTAACAACAGTGGGTGGAATTTATTTGACGAAGAAGTTCGTAACAATTTCTAAACTGTTCGATCACTCTTATTGACACCATTTAGAAAAATTAATGACCAGGGAAGTTTCGTCTGGATGCTGTACTATAGAAAGGGCCATGAGGGGTGTGGAGTCAAGATTCTCTCTCCTCACTCTTGCTCCCTCCTCCTCAGGGTGGAGAAGGAGTGGGGCAGAGCTGGGGTAGCCATGGGCAGAGCTGGGGTAGCCCTCTCACCTCGGCGCCTCAGTGTCCCACTCCTGGCAGTGCTGTCGGAGGATCATCACCGCCTCTGTGGAGAAAGGAACCAAGATGGCGCTGTGAGAGCTCCTGGGGGCCCAGGGTTGGAAAGAGGCAGGGGGCCCCACATCACGCTGGGCACCGGGAGGTACTGAGAAGACGCAGGTGTGTATTTCAAGTGAGGAGGCAAGCCAGGGAGGGATTTGAGCACAACAGGGACTTGGGTTTCAGTGGGAAGGACTCCTCTGGCTGCTCTGGGGACTGGGTTTCTGTGAAGTAGGGTTAGAAGAAGGAAAAGGAAGCAGCAGGTAAATACCTTGCTTTTTGCTCAAGACCTCCTCGATGTGCACCTTCTCTCCATTCACTGGAAAGCACAAGGACACTTTTAGTTCCTGGGGGACACATCTCATGTCCCCTTCATGTCAAGGGCAAAATCACATGGGAGTTATGGCATGGCCCCAGGAGAGGCAGGATATGTTCTTACTACCTCTGTACCCATCTCCCACGGGGAAATTCCTGACCCTGCTTCACCTCAGGGACCACATTCCCTGTAAGTGCCAAAGGAGTGGGCACCCTGAAGCCTGTACGGAGTTTACACTGAGGAGAGAGATGACCATAAAGAAGTCAGTGACCTGCCAGGTGGGAATAAATGCTTTGAAAAAAGGCAGATCAAACAGGAGAGTGAGAGGAACAGAAAGAGGGTGGGAATCTAATTTTAGACGAGATCCCATCAAGTTGGGCCTATTAGGCTGTTGGAGCTCAGAGCTGAAAGACGACGTCACACAGCAAGAGGCAGTCTGGACTGGGAGGGCTAAGAGCTTTGCCAAGGCCCTGAGCCATTGCAGGAACACCAGCAGTGGTCACAGGGTCTCTGGGCCCCTCTTTTGTCCCCACTTACAGGAGTCTAGTTCCTTACACAAGACCTCCCGGCGAGCTTGGGTCTCCCCTAGTTCCTCATTGGCGTTCTTTGCTGGGCCAAAGGAATAAAGAAGACTGTGTTAGGGCAGCCTCTGGCCTTGCTGTGCTACCACACACGATGACATGTTCATCTCCAAACAGCCCTGGAGGGGCCTGGCTTTTACAGATGTGGACCCGGAGGCATTCAACATCCAGGCCTCTCCTGCTGGCCCAGCTGGCCAGTGGAGGTTCCCAAGTTTACCTTGCTGAAGCTCATTGATCCGGTTAATCAGATCCCCAATCTGCGGCTCCAGGCTTCCCTCTAAAGAAAGGAAGAAGGATTGAGTGGGAAAAGACAGATGCCTGGCTGTGCAGGGCAGGAGCAGGGGGTGGTGCGTGCTGCCCCAGGGCCTCTGCTGCTATCAATCAACAGACATTTAGTGAGCCTCTGCTGTGTGCTGGGACCTGTACAAGGCGCCTTGCAGGGTTTACATTCTGGATGGGGGAGAACAAAGACATTGAACAAAGACATATGAGCTTGGGTGGCAGTGGCTGCGGTGCAGGGAAGTAACCTGAGGAGAGGTGTTGAAGAATGACAGGGTAAAGCTGCTTCTTGAGATTCAAGTCCAAGTCAAGTGGGGCCTGTGCGGGGAGAGCTGGGGAGGAAACCGTTCCAGGCAGAGGGAACAAGCGCAAATGCCCTGCGGTAGGAGGGGGAGGCTTGTGTCCCAGGCAGCAGGGAGGGGCTGGTGTGGTGGAGTCTAGCCAGCAGGTGCAGAGGAGCAGGAGGAAGTGGGAGGGGAGGTCACTCAGGGCCCCTTGGGCCGTGGAGGCCATAGATGCCATCCTGAGTGAGGCAGGAGCCAGTGGAGGCTTCCTGGATGGCCCACCCTGGGAACAGCTAGGCAGAGCAGGTCAGCTTCTGATAACCTGGACTCTGGTGCTGGCCTCCTGAGAAAGGAGGACAAGGCTTTCATGTTGCGGGTGGCAGCTGGCCAGCTCCCCAGTGACAGGGAGATCACTGTCCCTTTAGGAGTCACCTCTCACTTCTCAGTCCCTGTTTCAGTGCACTGTAGGGAGAAGTCCCATCCCTCTCTGGCTCCATGGTGGGTAAACTGGGTGGGTAGAGCTGGGCGTAAAGCTGCCCCACCCTTGGCAGGTCTCACTGCCAACCCAAGACAGTCTGGAGTTAATAAACTCAGCTTGGGTTTTCTGAGGTCACCAACTCCTCCACCTGTACCTTTCAGAGAGTGGGCCTCTTTGCAGTGCTATCACATCCCACAAGTCTCTGGGGGCTGAGGGGTCCTTTGTATTACTGGAGAAGGTCGGGTTATCTTCTTACAGTGTCAGTGTAGGCAGGGGTCCCAAGTTCTTCTGCAGGAGCCACAGGATGGGGGAGGGGCTCCCTTTTGTTTGGCGTAGACCAGTGGAGCTCAGCATCCAAAGCTGAGAATGGGCTGGGGCTCTAACCTCAGCCTCCCCAGCGCCAGCACTCTGCTCCAGCCCTGATGTGGGTACCTGCAAGGTGGCCCCAGGCCCTTTGCAACATGGCCACTTGCAGCTTGTACATCAAAGGGAAGACAAAGGAATATTTGCCTAGGAATGTATTTGTTTTCAAGTCTCTGTAAAGATACTTAACAACTTAAAAGCAGCTGTTGCTCACCTGTGGACCAAGGAAATGGCTGACTGGTTTGTGTGTGTGTGTGTGTGTGTGTGTGTGTGTGTGTAAGCAGAGTAGATTTTCCATTCTCTTAGACTTCCTGAATTTTGGAGTGTAGGGCTGTCTTTTTGGTTCAAGGTTGTGAGTAAAGGGATCTGGGTTGGAAGCATGTTTATGATTCAAACCCAGCCCAAGGTTTAGACCCTAGACACAAGACCTTTTTGAAGTTTCTTCACGATTGCCAGCAAATCTCCCGTCTTCTTTGAAGACTTGTCCTGCCCTGTGGAGATGAAAACTAGAATTACAGGATCCAAGGAGAGACCGAAGGGGTGGAGGGAAGGTCTGGGCCCATCTGGAAGGGGAGGAAGGAAGTTCCTGAGGGCTCTGTGGACAGCCCTGGGTGGAAGCCTAGGCTAAGCCGACGGTCACATTTCCAGACAGAGCAGGTCCCCTGCAGTCGTACCCCTGTCTTTTGTCCCTGAAGTTCAAGGGTGTGCTAGCTGAAGCAGAATCTCTAATGGCCACTTTTCTCTTAATGAAACTCATGAATGAGAGCAGGGGGTGTTTGCTACTGCTGCTCTTCAATGTTATTCTGAAGGTCAACCAATGCAATCGGGCAGACAAGGATATGCATGGCTGCTAACATTAATAAAAATAACCACGGGATGTTATAAGCCTCTTGAGAACTAACACTACTAAAGGGGGATTCTCCCCCTCAAAAGCCCTATAATAAACAAAATAAAGGGAATCACCCCAGGCTTCCCTATCTTAATACTACTTCAAAGGAAATACAAAGGGCTGGTGAACATTGTAAATGACACCTTTGGAGACATTATCATCATTATCATTATCATGCAGACTGTGAGAAACTGCAGGAAAACCTGTTTTCTTCAATGAATAAACTGTGAAGGAGAAAATAAAGGATCAGGAAAACTCTATGCTGAAAACCTTATACTGAGGCAGGTATCCATCAACATTCAACAAACAGGCCTTATTCGGATCCCGACTGAAACAAAGGCACTTTTCACCATATATACTTCTGTATACATTTTAACATGGAGACTTTATTACTTTTAAAATTCAAACAACAACCACAAAACCCACAGGAAAATATTAGCACTTTCAAAACATCTTAAATTCTTTAAACCAATGAGAAAAGGTCAAGACCCAGTGACCATTTCTCCCCAAGGAAAATGAGGCAGAAATGCAGCCCATATACACGTACAGTAGCAAAAAAGTGAACGCAGAAATGCTTTCCCACAACAGCATCTGGTGAAATGCCCCTCTCCCTCAGACCCTAGGAGCCCCTACTCCCGTCCTCAGAGGTCATAACTGTTACAAGCCATTTAATTCATAATCAAACATATACTCCATTTTCTGTGGAAATGGTAGTAAGTTTTACATGATTACACACATTTTGTATTTTTTCATTTGACAATGTATACTGGTGATCTTATTTTTATCGGCCACACAATGTTCCACTGCCTGGATATACCATAATTTAAGAGCAATCTCCTACTGATGGACTTCTAGGCTGTTTCCCTCCTTTTGTTATTTACACACAGTGCCACAATGGCCACCCATATTGCTTTTCTTAGCTGCTGGAACAAAGTACCATAAACCAGGCCTTCCCTCCTTGTCTGTCACCAGATACCATTCTCTCTGTGTAGATCTTTGTGCCCATATTTCCTTCCTTATTGAATTATAACACACCCTATCATCTCAAATAGTTGTATCTGCAAAGACCCTACATTCAAGGCCACATTTTGAGGTTCTGGTGGGTATAAAGCTCGGGAGGAGCTCAATTTTACCTAGTACACCATCCCTGTACATCCTTCTTTGTGTTTGTATTTGTGTGTATTTAACTAGATACCCCGAGAACATGATGCAGGGCCCACCTGTGGCAACAAAGGTTATGCTTAATATTTAAACTGGCTCATATTATGAAATTGCCCTCCACATTTTTGAGGCCCACAAAGGAACTTCCCCCTACTCTTACCTGCCAACTATAATTTTCAACCCCGTTCCTTTTTTGCCCATCTGATAGGGAGAAACGGTGTTTCATTTCACACCTTGCGATAATATCTCCTCATCTCCTTTGCATCAGAAATTCCACTCTGAGGAACATATCTTAAGGAAATAGTTAAGAATGATGGGCAAGGAGTTTATTGCTTCACTATTTGAAATCCTAAAATAAAGAAGTGACCTGAAGATTGCTTAGGAGATTAGTTAACTACAGCCTATTTGTAGGATGAAATTCTCTAGTGGTTTAAAAATCATATTGTAAATCAGAGTTTTGTAACCTGAGCTTATTTTGTTGAAGTGTTTGATGGCATCTCTACCTTCACCTTCTTTACATTCTTTGGTCTGGCCTGAAATCTTTTATAAATTAGTTTAATTGGGCATTTTAATTTGTAAACTACTTAAATAATGAACAAATGTAGAACATGGAATTAAAAGTCTCCTATCACCAAGAGCCTCTTCTCCAAGTCATCCCCTTCCCAGAAGTAAATGGCCAGCAATTTAGTGATAGTTCGACCGTTCAGTTCTTACTAGTAACATTCTAAGAAAGTTCTGCACCACAGAAATACCTGAAGTTAAAAATGGCACTCCCCCTCCTCTCCCTGGCCCTCCATCTCTCCGCCCAGATACAATCACACTGAGCTGGGAGTCCCCTCTTGAGACATTTTAATTATTAAAATATTCTTAATTTTTAGAAAGGAAACCAAAACTACTTTAAGTAACAAGGAGAAGTGTTTGTCAATGTTTTAAGATTTTGTGAACAAATTTCAAACAATTTCAAATGCACATGAGAACAAGGACGCCATTGTGGACTCCAAGGTGCTCATGGCCCAGAGCTGACAGCTTCTTTCCTTGTGTTCAAGTATCTTCAAGCAAGCCGCAGGCGCCTTGACATTCATCCCCAGGCATAATTTTGAGACATTTTCTAGGATAACCCTAGTCCTAAAATCACACCCAAAAAGGTGAAAAATCATCATGGAATATCACATAATGCTCAGACACATATAATGTTCCCCAATTGTCCCGTCTTTCCTAGCTGGTTCTGGCAACTATTTCTGCAAAAGCTCACCTGTGTATTTCTTCCCTGCAATGTTCTAGTGCTAGACATGAGGCCAAGAGAAAGCGATATCCATCTTTTAAGGAATCTAACATCTTGTAAATGTTTAAAAGTTGCATGTGACACCAGGAAGCAGCCTGTGAAGTATGAATCCCCTTTGAAACATTTTATTTTGAAATAAATTTCACATGTAACAAAAGTTGTCACAACAGGCCACAGTGCTCCCATTTGCTCTTCTATCAGATTCCCCATTGTGAGTATTTCTGAACCACGAGTCGCAGTCATTTGGTCCATTACTCTTTAATATTCCAGTGTACGCTTCCTATATACACAGGGCTCCACCAAGTAACCACAGTACGACCATCGAAATCTGGATGTTAATATTGATCCAGTATTAGTATATGAGCCTCAGATGCCATTCACTTTTCCCTCTTTCCCCCTTGTATTTTAGAATTACACAGTAATACCTACATTTTTTGAAAAGAAAAACAAAACAATAAATCACAGAAATGCCTCTGCTCTGAACCATCCCCAAATCCTAGACCCTGTCCAGAGCTACCAGGTGGGCTGTATGTTTTCTTCATTTCTTGTGTTTAACACACTAAAGGCGATACCTGACCATCTCCCTCTTCACTAGTGATGATGACTTCCTTTGGAGCTTACTGTCAATGAACAATGATCATGTCCATTTAGAAGTTATTTTTTCCGCTTCTTAAAAAATAACCCACCTACAGGCACCCCACAATGTACAAGAACATACTGAGATTTAGCAATTGCTGTGATTACTTCTTGTATTTTGCCTCCATTAATGACATTCTGAAGACCACTCCTGGTTCATGCAGCTGTCCCCTCTCCTATGTCAACCTAGCATGGTGACTGAGATGATACTACACCCATGCTGCCAAACTGCCCCTAGCAAAACCTTTCTGGCCAGTTCTCCTCTTAGGCAAAAGAAAGCCTGTTATCTCCACAGAGTAATCAATGCCAGATATTATCCCTTCCTTTATAAAGCCAATTTGATGGGTTAGAAATGGTAACTTGATGATTTTCAATTTTCTCCATTGCTGATGAAGTTAATCATAACTTTAACTGAGGAATTTGAAAGGTTGATATTAAAAGTTTTTTAAAAAATCAGTGGCCTCTATACTAAAAGCATAATAAATGGGATCTATTTGCATCTGTCTTATTTCTATCCTTTTTTTGAAAGCTGGATTAATCTAAGACAATTCTCTGTATTCAAATTATTTCATTATTCACATAATTAAAAAATCACTGAGCACCAACTATGTGCCAAGCATTGTTTCAGATGCTGGAAAACAGCAAGGACCAGTCTCAGTTCTCATGAGGCTCACATCCTAGGACAGATAATAGACAAGAAGATCATCATCATTTTGATGTCTGCATAGGTGAGTCTTGTAAGATGCAGTCTGATGTGCTTATTCATACAGAGGGGTGAAGGGTGTGCAGGAAGGGGAGTTAGAGATAGAGGAAAGCTGGAACCCAGACCCGTGAAGCAGAGTGACAAGTACTAAGGCGTTCATCATGCTCTTTTTCTTGACTTTGGTACATTCTGAACATTTCTTTAACAAAATCACTAGCAGCATCTTAGTACATTACTTAAGCCCTGGGAAGGTTTTTTTTTTTTTTTTTTCCCCCTTCCTTTTGGCTAGATTGCAATTTCCAAGAGTCCCCGGGCCATGCCACTTCCCTATCACTACTCTGGATGAGCTATTATGATTAACTCAAAGCCAATTTAAGAAAAGCTGTGGAAAAGCCACTCTCATTAGGAGATTTAAGAATTTTTGTAAAATGGGATTTAGGCTTGGTATGAAATAATGACACTGGAGAATACGCTAACTTTCTTAGGGGTGGCAACAGCTGGGTGATTTTTGCTAGAACATCCCTTCCCGGTTTTGTTTGAAGATACGCACACCGAATTATTTACTACAAAACACCTAAGCAACATGCTTAATAAAGTTGACAAGAGTTAATCTGGGTGAAGAGACTGTGCATGTTACTTAACGCCACGGTGTGAAACGGTTTTCTTTCAATAATAAAAGGTTTAAAATTTCATTTTTAAACTATCTACTGCTACCGCTATTCGTTACTGTCGAGGGTCCGAGCCCCTCCCTGCAGCCCTGGCCGCAGGTGCCCACCGTGGACCCTCACACTACCTCCAGCGGGCTCCTGCGCTTCGGGCTCTTCGCTCAGAGAACCCAGCTTCTCTGCCATTTTCCAACGCGGGGTTTGTTTGTGCACCTGGGTCAACGATAAGTTAAAAAAATAACACCCACGTGAGGGCGAAGGGCAGTTCGCTTGGGACCTGACACATTCACTCCATCGGTTGACCTGGGGTGGAGGAATGACGAGCATCTGCTTTGAGCAGGCGCACGGTACCGGGCGCTCCTGATGGACAGTTAGCACGCACGCGCACCACTGTGAGGCAGTAACAGGTTCAACAGGAGCAGGACTAGGGCACCGGGCGGTTAGGGAGGGAAGGAGGGAGGGTGGTGAGGACGGGAACCACACACAAACCAAGGAGGTCTCTATTCAGGATGCTTTTGTTGTGGCAGGTTGCCAAAGTCTGGGATAAATACGTTATGTGCCATAAGAGTTTGAATCCCGTTCTATTTGCAAAACTTCATTAAATAGCCTACGAGACAAAGTACAACGAGCCTTAGACACCAAGGGCACCTCCTATGCAAAAAATTCCTGATCCTGGCCACTGTCTGAGACCAGGCACTACATGTTCTCTTTTTCAAGGGAGGCTACCTTCTCATTATTATTAGAAGCAGCCAGTGTAGACCCACGCAGCTTACTTTCTGGTAGGGTACAAATGAACACAAATGCATGAAGGGCAAAGGAGTATCCTTAGGGGCTTGGTTTTAAGCCTTTTACGTACAGTTTTTTTTTTTTTTTTCCCTCTCTTTAAAACACCCTTCAGGTCAGTTCCAGGTACAGGCTGACCCTGTATTCCCAGTTCTAGAGCTCCTTTGGACCACCCCAGAAATCCTGGCTGCCCTGGACACTCTGAACTGACAGTCCAATGAGGAGACAGATTTAGGAAGAGGTTTAAGGGGACCGCCCCTGACAGAGGCTGGAGGAGGTGAGGCTGGAAGTGATGAAGGGGCTGGAAGAGCAGCCTTTATCTCTGGCTGCTGACACTCATCTCCCATTTGTGGGCAGGCCTTGGATCTTGCCTGCCTGCCTGGGGAGACAGGGACCAGCCAAAGACAACCGACCCACCCACACTTCCAGGTCAGAGACCCAAGATGGTCACTCCCGGCAGTCTGGGAGCACCACCATTCAGAGTCCAGTGAATAAGCCATTATGGGGAGCTTGGTCCGTAGAGGTGGCTGGGGGTGTGGAATACTTAGGTGGGTAACGAATGAAGAGCCGGTCCTCTTCTTTCCTCACCCAGCGCAGAAGTTTGGTCACTACCAAGATGGCACCTGCCTTTGTCACCAGGGGGCTGAGGCAGGTATAGAGCTCAAATTTGGAGGTCACCTGGGGGTTTGAAAGGAGACAGAATCAGAGGCTGCAGTTGGCCGTGGATAATCCTATCCACCCAAATCCAGCCCCAGGTTTATCTCCTGCAGCTTAGAAGATGTACCTGGCAAAATTTCTACCTGGTACTCCCTGGACACTAGGCTAAGGCGGGTAACCTGATCTTACTATGTCATAGGTGGGTCAAGGGTTCTCAGTTGAGTCTAGGGGTCAGCTGGAACTAGAGGCTTTAACAGGGATGCTGGCTGTTGGTGGGTGTGTGTGTGTGTGAGAGTGTGTGTGTGTGTGTTTGTCTCGGGGAGTATGTGGTTTATTCTCTGGCACTTGATTTGCTTATCTGTGGGCTGGAGATAATATTAACAACCGTGCTTAATACTCGATGAGCAATTATTATACAGTTCCACACTGCTGTGTTTTCATCATTTAAGACCTGGGCATGATATAAAGAGGAACCCACTCTAATCTGCACAATAGCCTGAGATCTGATCCCACCACATCACTAGCACCTTTTCTGTGTCATTTTCACCACTCTCGCGTGGCTCCATCTGTCCCATGTCCCAATCACCTTGGCCTTTCCTTGCAGGAAAACACAGGCAGGCCCAGCCCCACCGCAAAGAACTGGAAGAATGCTCTCGTTCTGCTAGGTGTGCTCTTCCTCCAGATACCACATGGCTTGCTACTTCTCTCCACTTGAAGGCCATCTCCTCAGCAGACCTCCCCTGACCACCTGACTTTAAATACTGGGCCTCCCCTATCTTGGTTTTTAAATGCCAATCTCCATTAAAATGTACAAAAGTTCACTTTAATCTTGGAAAAATGGATGAGTCCAGGCCTGGTGAGGAGTCAAGTAAGCAGTGCTCACAGTAGACAAGACACGGCAGGAGACACAGGCATCAGCCTAGCTAAATCAGGGGTCCCACTGGCTAAATCAGACAATTTCAGCACCAAAATAAATGCTAGGAAAACAGATTAGCCACTGAAAATTAAAGAAAAACTCATGAGACCATATTGATATAAAATTAAAAATTCAATGAGTGGAACAAAGAAAAATTTTTCTTTATCCTAGAAAGGGTGGTGGGGTTAGAAAAGGCACCATTGGACAAACACTAGACTAATGACTACTGCAAAGCAGAATCATTAGCAGATATTAAAATTAGTGGTAAAATTATGATGAAAAAGAAGACACTGGCATGAATGCCACAGATATTTACTAATTACAGAGGGGAAAATATTAACTTTATTATGAAGAAATGTGGCAGACTAGGTAATCAAAGTCAATATCAACAAAAACAGGGACAAACTGGCATCCTAATCCCTTAAGACAATGCAGAAAAGGGCACATCACATCTGTGGTATTCTTACTCAAAAAGTTTGGCCTCAACTTACTCATGATAAAAAACCCAAGTTGAGGGACATTTTACAAGCTACATTTCTTCAAAAGTGTTAAGGTCATGAGGCAGAAAAGACTGAGAACAGTTCTAGAATGTGACCAGAGAAATATAATAAACAGGTTCAACATGTGATCCTAGACTAGATTCTAGACCAGTCAAAGGACGTCAGTGGGAGACTTGGTAGAATCTGAATCAAGTCTGTTGATCAACTGTTATTCAACCAGTGTTAACTTCCTGCTTTTGATAAGTTACTGTGGCTTTATTAGATGTTAATCTTTGGTGACTTTATGTTAATCTTTGGTTTCTTTATGTTAAGTCTTTGTATTATTTTTGCCAACTTCAACTTCCAACTATGTCTAAAATTACTTGAAAATGAAATTTAAAAAAAAAAATTGAAAATTAAAATCCTCTGCCTAAAACAATGCCTAATACACAACAGATTTGCAATAAATTATTTAACAAATGTCAGAGCCAGGGGGACATGCCATTTCCAATGGGGTTCCCTTGACTGACCTCCCAGAAGGGCTGACCTTTAACAAATCCACAAGAAGTGAGGCAGGAGCCCAGGGAAGGAAACCCAGATAGAGGGCACAGCATGGGACTGAGGTGTGCTGAGGACTCAAGAAATCAAAACTGTAGTGGTGGAAAGTGGGGACTCAGGGGCTCAGTAATGGTTAATGGGGTTTCCTGCAAGTCAGGATACTGGACTGGTTGCTAATGGGGGACAAGAAGAAGAACAGTGGGGCTAACATGGGATTGCACACAGTGGTAAATCCTTCTGCAGTTCGGAGATGTGTGTGATGGTGGGGACAGTGTTACAGACAGAGGCAGAGCCCAGGAAAAGGTCTAGTGCACTGGAGGGCAAGGAGCCTTCAAGTGGGACATTAGCTCACTCACAACTCACCCAGGCCAGCAGCGTCTCCTTCTCAGCCACGTGGTAAATGAGGCGCAGGGGTCGGGAGGTGCTGTGCAGGCGGGCATGCAGGCGGTGGTACAGGTCTGACAGCCGCTGCCGCTCCTCCTCTCTGCTGTATGGGGCCTCGAGCTCTGGGCTGCCATGTGGGAGGGAGGTGGAGGGCAAGGTGAGTGGAGGGCCTTCTTGGCTGGCCCATCTCCTCTCTTAGGCTGACCATCCTTGTTGGACAAACTGTCCCACCCGGCCAACCACCCACAGGGTCACGGCCCACCTGGTAAACTGGGGCAGCTGGCGGTGGTGGTCAGGGATGTCCAGTGGCTTATAAAGGAAGTGCCGGAGACCAGGTGCCCCCACAGCCTGCACACTGTAGGCAGGGGCATTGGCTGCTGGGGCATTAGAGAGGCTGGCAGGTTCCCCAAGGGCACGCAGGGCACCGAGGGCCCGCATTCCATCTTCCACCAGGCGCCGGCAGGCGGCCATGGCATGGAAGGCTTCACGGTGGGTGCCGAGCAGCAGCAGGCAGACGGGCATGGCATCCAGTCGGGCCACATAGGCATAGAAGAAACCATCGGGGTTAAAGCGGGGCAGGCATACAGGTGCCCAGGCCTCACCTGCCGCAAAGGCTGGTGCACCCACCCAGTCAAGCAGCAACTGCAGGTCTGCAGGGTCCAGTCGGCACTCAGCCAGCACATTACGCTCCTGGGCAGCTGTTATCAGCCGGCCCCCAACTGCCAGCACTGATAGTGCCAGCCCGGGTGCTGTGCAGCGCCTCAGCAGGGCACCCAGGGCTTCCCGCAATGGGCGGGCAAGGGGCACGCAGCGCACGGCCCCTAGCAGCAGGGCACCTGGGTCCCGTTCCACACTGTCCAAAAGCCGGTCCAGAGTCCGCTCCGAGCCAGCCAGCAGGCGTCGGAGGTCGTAGTTCTGCTTGTGTGCGAAGATGCGGGCCACGCTTGCTCGTGTCAGAGTGCTCACGATCTGGGCGTGCACAGCCAGGAGCTCCCTCCGCAGCTGCGCTGCTGACTGAGGAGTCCTGGACACGGCCACCAGCAGCAGTGGGCCCTGCTGTAGGAACACCAGCTTGTGGTCCTCTGGGGAAGGGAAGGGGCAGGGCGAGGGGTAGAGCTGTATCAGGAGTGACTGGGAGTGGGGCGGAGCTCTTTTGCCCCCTCACCCCAGCACACAACACCAGGCCCAAGTCCCCACCACTGCTCTGCAGACACCTGCTAGGACAAGTATGAGCTGGGAAAATTGGACCTTTGTAGAAATGTGATGGGATGTCAAGGGATGAGTAGGTTAGAACACAGCACCAAGTGGGTGGTGGGAGATGAAATGGAGCAAGAAGCCTCATGAAGGCAGGACACCCAACCTCAGTCCCCACAGCCATGCCCTCAGGCAACAAGAGGGTATTCCTGAATCACTCAGAGCCCAGCGTATCAGTCACTCAGAAGCCAGCAGGCTGGAGAGATGGACCTCTGACAGCCAGACCCTGCCGGTCTGGACAGAGCCTCAGGTAGGCAGAGACAGATCTACCCAGGGCTGGTCAGACAGACTCCAGCCAGCCAGCTACATTCCCAGTGGCTGCCTCCCATCCTGCTTCCCACCCCCTCGCTCACCAGCGTAGATGGCGCGGATGGAATCTCCAGCACTCTGCACGAAGGACACAAGGGCTGTCATCACGCCCATTGTAGCCGACAGCGCCTCCACACTTCCGTACCGTGAGTAGATGGGCTTGCCAGCCTCACTCAACACAAACACATGCTTCCGCTGGCTGCGCCAGTCCTCGTCACTGGGGTCCCCGCCACTGGGGTCCCCGCCACTGGAGTCACTCTCCGGGCCATGAATGGGACTACTGTCCGAGGCTGCAGTACTCCAGTGCTCACTGGTACTTGATGGGGCCTCTGACTGGGGCAGTTGTGACAGGAGGCTGGGTGACTGGTCCTCGGCCTTGGATCCTGAAAAGAAGCCCCTGGTGGGTCATCTGCTTGTGGACTCCAACTAACTCAGGTTCCCAAAAACCCACTGAATCCTCACCAGTCCCAGTCCCACAGCAGCCCCTGAATGCAAAGACCTCTGAGTATCTCCCTTGCTGCCCTTCCCCTGCTCAATGACTCCCAGAGATCGGATCTCCCTAATGATGTCTTCCAGCACTGAGGTTCCAGTGATCCCCCACAACTGGAATAACCTAATATGCTGTCACTGTCACTGGCCCCTCTATGCCCCTGCAGACCAATTACTCTTCTTTCAACAACCACCATTCTCAAGTCTTCTGAGCACCCCACTGTCTCTGAATGATCATTAATATTCTCATTTTACACGATCCCCCATTAATTCCTATGAACCTTTATTTTATTTTCTTGGTATCTACTCATCCTTCAACGGCCACCATTACCATCCATAATACCTATGCTCCCTACCGTCTAACTCCCCTAGCCTGCTGACTGATGTCCGCTGATCCCTAGCGACCCCTATCAACTTTCCTGATCAACCATTTACAGTCCCAGTAATATTCATTAATTCTTCTGGTGGTTAGTTGCCATTAATACCCACTAATCCCCATTCCCTCCTGTTTAATTCCATTGAGATCCACTAACAGCCCAATTATACCACAGTATCATCCCTAACACCTTTAATGGCTGCCCCCGACCCACAATTTGTTTTACTCCATGTCTACTCCCTGCATTCCACTAAAGACCATGGTTAACCTCCAATAACATATAGGACTTTCATGACCTCCTCTGCCCTTCCCCATGCCCATCATTTACATTCACAAAATACCACAATCACTGTTTCCCTGACACACCCACTGATTCTCATTGATGTCTACTAATTCACCCAATGATAGTCACTATTGTCCAGTTGCAACTACGTCTCTGCATTTTTTTCCGTAAAATCCAGTGAACTTATATCCTTTCAGTAACATATGCCAGTACTCCCCAAACTCCAAATACCAACTACTCCCTCCCAATAACTGCCATTACCTGCCAATAATTTCTAAGTCTTAAACAGCCTCACATTTTTTTCTCAGTGATGTCTGCTATTTCTTCCTAAAGACTCTATTAACATCAACTAATTACAAGGTGATCTATGAGCAAAGATTCCTCAATGACTACTATTGATTCCCCAATGATACCTTTACACATCCACTAACATCTGTTTTCAAAATATTCCCCCTATTGATCCCAATTTTCCACATAATTTCACTGACTCCCCCTTCCCTACTAATAACCACTATTACTTGATGTCATTGATTCTTTAAAGACTTCCCTCAACAACCTTCTATTGGTCCTTCAATGACATAAATACTCTTGAGTACCCATAGACACTCATTAATCCCTTTCGCACCCCAGTGACTTAACACCCTACCTCCCCCAATCTTTAGCTTCTAAATAGTCCTTCCTTTGACCCTGTTGACTTTCTTTTACAAATTCATTGGCCAAAACACCCTAAAGTCCCAAGACCCTCTTGGACCACAACTGTACTGTTCTTGAATCCTCAATGACATAAAAGCACACTAAATACATTCTGATTTCCCCTGAACTGAGAAGTTTCTCAGGTTAAGGGCCTTCCAATGCTAAAATGGAGAAATTGCTGGACAAACTGGGACAGTCCCTCATCATACCCCAAATTTCTCTCATCCTTCCTTGATCTCCCATAAGAGGATGCATCTGCCCCAGCCCACAGGATTGCACTCAGTGAATGTCAGCTGATACCCACTAACTTCCTTGTTATTTCTCGATGAGTCAAATTACACCAGTGAGCCAACTGTGCCCTCCTACTGAACAGGTTATGGTTCAGGCTACTTTCCTGAGTCCCAAGACTCCTCACTGGTCTCCAAAAGATCCTCCCTTCCCCTGTCCAACAATGACAATCCCTTGGGAGTCCTCCCAAGACCCCAGCGAGGGGAGGGCACACCTGTTTCCTCCAGGTCCCCGTCGTCTCCGGGATCGGGCACAGCCGTGTGAATCCCTCCACTATCTCCAGTCTCTTCACTGGGGAACGGCAGGTCCTCCAAGCCTTCCTCGGCCCCGGGGGATGGGGCAGCACTGTCCCCTCCGGCCTCCATCTGCACATCCCTGGAGGGGAGGGGAATCAAGGGTGACAGGCAGCAAAGGAAACTTAGAATCTTTTACAGAGCCAGGCCCCCTGCACACATCCCTAGCACTTGTTTCCCGTGTTTCCAACAGGATGAGACAGACATTCAAACCAAGACCAAATACTTGCACCCTCCAACACTTTCCATAGAGGGAGACTGCTGGGCGGTAGGAAACAAAGATGCGTAAACACCTGTTTCAACCCTGAATCTCCCCCGCTGGACACCGACACTTCCCGGAGCAGCAGCAGCAGCAGCAGCGGCAGCATCACACTTCCGGGTGCTGCTGAGGGTTCGCCACACTTCCGGAAGCCACGCCTCACGGAAGACGCTTCCGATTGCAGAACTTCATTCTTTCCTCGTGGGGCCTCTTTCTCGCCGCGGATTAGCGTTCCCTCACCGTTCAGATAGCGCGCGTCTCCCGGATCTACGTCGGACCTGGTCGGGAACCCAGTGAACCCCTTTCGGACTCCTTCCCACTAACCCGGCAGAAGCGGCAAGTGGGGCAAGAGCTGCCCACTTGTCAAACGGGTGGCTGCCGACGTGAGGGGCACGGCTTGAGCTTAACCAATCGTGGAGCACAGAGGGCGGGACTGCCTTCCTTGTGGCCCAATCGAAAAGAGTTCTTTCTCTCCCTTCCGCCCGGTTCGGGTGGTACCTTCACAAGAACTGTGTTGACTGGCGTTTGTACTCGCCTATCCCTTGACTGACGTCTCTGAACCTAACAGGAGGCTCCTGCCGGTTTCTCTCTTTACTCGTATTTTGCATCCTAAGACCCAATCCACTGTATCCATTAGGATACAGTGCCGGACCAACCAACGTGTTCTCTCAGAATCCAGGAAACTTCAATTTCTGTCCTTCCAGAGAGGGAGTGGCAGGGCATGGATGCTTGATGGGCATTCGCCGCTTCTAATCGGAGTGCCGCGCGCAGTCGGATCAGCCTTTAGGACTCGGACCCTAAAGTATCTCTGTAATTAGCCCGTCCAGGGCTTCAGCGGCCTCCGTCTGCAATTCACAAACATTCTCGCGGTTCCAGAGAATGGGGTTGCGAAAGCAAAGCGCAGGACTTGTTCAGACCCGCAAAAGTGGGTGCTTACCACACTGGCGAAGGCAGGAGCCGCACGCGGAGCCAACCAGATTAGGCGCCCAGACCTAAAGGGGGCGTTTTGTGGGCGTGGCCTCAAGGGGCGTCTGCCTCCTCGTTGGCTGGGGACCGTGCCGCGCCGGTCTCTACGCGCCTCCATTGGCCGGCTGGACGGGGGCGGTGCCTCGGATGGGGCCCGCCCCTAGAGAATCCACACTGGTTTAGAGGAGACCGAGGTGGGATGCGACTTCATCCTGGGAATTACCAGGAGTCGCATCCTGAAGACTGCGGGGGACCTAGGCGTCCAGGACAAGACGAACCAATTCAAAAATTGTCGGTGTTTGCATTTTGAGGGTGGATGCGGACGCGCCTGCTTTAGGAGTGTGTCTCGCTTGCTCTGGGTCTCTCTGTCTCTCCCTGGGACACCCCGTGCCGCTTCTCTGGGAGACTCTTTAATCCGTATCTCTGCATCTCTTTGTCGCCCGCCAAATTACTAGCTTTTGTTTTCTGGCGTCCCCCTAGCCAGGTGAGTGGCGCCCAACCCCGAGCTCCACGAAACGAAGCCCCCAGCTCCATCTTCCCGCAGGATTCCCTCCCAGGAGGGCCTTCCAGGAAGAATCCTCTTGGCCCTGATCAACCTCGAGGCTGTGCTGCAGGAGGGCAGGCAGGCACTCACTTGGGGCTGGTCCTAGGCCTAGCGAGTAGGTGGTCACTTCCTGTGGTAAGTTTGGGAGGAAGTGATAGAGAAGGTGTGGAAAAGGGACCACCGAGAAACGGGGAAACCTAGGATTCGAAAGACTCTGAGGCCGCTTCCAAACTGAAGCTCCCTGGACTTGTTACCCTAAGTGCCCTGGGCCTCAGCTTCCCTACTGGTAAAACAGTGACATGACATTGTTGACCTCTCCGTCTAATGATTGCTTATCCTGGAGTGAAGGTGCTCTTAGCCTACTTTCAGCAATTGCTAAGCGAAAGCCTTTAGTACACTTATAATTAACTACATTATATTTAGGGCAACGAATACCAATAATATGGCACCATAAAACCTGTGTACACCAGGCAATAGATAAGTAGTAAGAAATATATACAGTACTTTAATACAAGCAATATATAAGTTTATGTATGTATGAGATATATTGACCTAATAAATTTAGGAATACACAATGTGTAATAAACTCTTTAAAAGTACAATAAAATAAATAACTCCTCTCATAAGAAAATTTATATATTTTATAGAAACAAAAATATAATAAGTATGTAAGAGCAAATGGTAATATTCTTTATAAATAGAGATTGATAACACATAATGAATTTAAATATACAAATGTATACTTTAAGCATTTAATAAGTTGTATAATTAACAAAAACTTTAGAGTAAGACAAGCACGTGAATGTATAATATAATAATAAAAGATAACTACATAACATGGCTTTTATGATCGTGAACTTGTTAGCTTGGTGAGTAGTGTGCCCTCTAGATCCAGGTGAAAAATTTCAGTGCCCAGCATTCACAGGTTTTGTGACCTCAGACCCATTAATTAAGACTCTTGAGGACCTGGCTTTCCTCACCAATGTAGTAAAGATGTTAATGGTAATACCTGCCTTACTGGGATGTCTTGGAGTATTAAATTACTCAATGTTGAACCTAAAATAGCATCTGATAATGTTAGGTCACGTAAATGTTATATCACTAAATATCATTGTTATGAATATTGTAATTATAAGATGATTATATAGAGACTACTTCTAAAAATTTGAAATTAATATTCCACACAATATCTTATAATTAGCATATATTATAAATTATTATGTTATGTATCTGTTAAATTAAATTATATCTAATAGAGATATTAAAATTATATTTTCAAAGCATGATCAACACTGGGAATGTGTAAATCATACAGCCTCACCTAGGGCTGGCCAGCCACTAGCCAGACCTTTAAGAAGCCAGACAGACAACTCTTCAACAGATGGACAGAGATCCAGCTGGACATATAAAGCCTAGCCAACTGTCCAGGCAGCCAAATGTGAGATGAAGAGAGGTCTCAGTGTTTCTATCATGGAGTCCAAATACCAAATCAGTTCAAAGCCCACATATAATTGGGGAAATGAATGTCAGATTGGAGAGAATTCAAATCAATTATCAAAAGTTTCCTAGTCTCTTTGGACTGGTATTTTACTATACTGTAAATTCTAGATTACTTGTAGATTCCATTCTATTTTTCATGTTCATGTAATACCTACCCCATATTTCAACAAAACTGTACCATAATTAGTCTCCTTTTAAAAAATTCTTGGGAACTTGCTTTGTGAACTTTAATGGTTGTTTTTTAGGGAAAATAACAGAACTAGGAATACCAGTTTTCCAATTTTATCTGAAAACCTTAGCACCAAATGTGTTTCGATTTCACACTTTTTCTAATTTTAGGAATGAAAGTAGGCACATATGCCACATATTATATAGTATCTCAGGAGAGGCTGGCAGCAGCCCGTAATTAAACTCATTCTTTCTGAGTGAAACTGGATTACTCCCACTAGAAGTGGTGAAGACAAAGCTGCCTCATATTAGTTCAGTTCAGGTTTTGCAGCACCAAGGTCTTAAAAAGTATTTTATCAGTGAGTTTTGTGACAATACAGAGTGGTAAATATATGTATTAGAGTCCCACGGAAGATGGGAAATATATCTAAAGGAACAATAGCTCAAACTTTCCAATTTGATGACAATTATTAGCACAGATTTGAGAAGCTCAGCAAACTTATTAGGGATAAAACCAGAACCTCACTAGAGTGTCTTATACACAAGGTGAAAACAGCAAAATATTGTATATAGCTGGAGAAAGTAAGACATATTACATACAGGAGAACAAAGATAGGAATTAAAACAGGCATCTTATTAGAAACTATTCAAGCCAGAAAATTATTCTAAATCTGTAAAGAAAATAAAAAGAAATTCAATGACCTTACATTTTATACTCTGTAAGATCACCTTTCAAAATGAGGCGAAATAAAGACTTTTAAAGGAAGCCTGCAAAAGTTTGTCACTAGCAGATCTGCATGCAAAAGTTGAAGAAAATTCCCCAGCATGGAAGTTAAATGATTATTGTTGGCAAATTAATGCACATGGATGAATGAAGTGTACCAGAAATGATAAATTTGGTAGACGTTAATGTTTTCTCATTTTAAATATTTAAAAATATAACTATGTGAATGCAAAAACAATGTGTTGTGGGGCTATAACATTTGTAAAAATAAATGTATAACAGAAACAGCACATAGGACCCAAATCATACATGAGTACATGGTTATAAGGTTTTTAACATTACACATGAAGTATAGACCACACACTGGTGTATAAAACAAGTGTAAATACCTTTTAAAAGTTTTATCATACAGAGCAGTTTTTTTGATCCTAGCAGAATGAAAATAGAAATCGTTAACAAAAAATACCTGGGAATTCTCCAAATATTGAAAATGAAGTCATTATACATCATATTAACATATGAATCAAATAATAAATCCCATGGGATATCAGAAAATATTATTAATTGAATGGAAATGAAAAAAAAACAAGTACAATTTAGAGGATGCAAAGCGATAAAATTTGCAGTTTCAGATGTTTATACAGACCTGAAAAAATGCCTGCAATCAATGGTGTTCATATGAACCTTAAGGAGCTGGAAAAAGAAGAGGAAACTAAACCCAAAGAAGTAAGAAATAAGGAAATAATAAATATGAGAAAGACATTCAGTGAGATAGAAAACATACAACTAAAAGAAGCATTCATTGTAAAAAATATTGAATTTTTTGAAAAGGTCAATAAAAATTCTTAAACTTTATGCTTAAATGATTAAACAGAGGAGTCAAATCAGCAATATCAGAGTTGAAAGAGGCAACATGATTAGGGACCCCATAGATGGTATACTGTTATAGATTATCTGTGATTTCCAACAAAATGAAGCATAGATAGGTACCAAGTCTCAGGGATGCTAGACCTCAGCTGATTAGCACTGGCTTGGAACAGCAGTCTGACTCAGAGATGAGGAAACAGGTTGGCAGGGACAAGTGACTTGGCCTGAGGTCATCATAGAATCAGACCAAGCTGTTGGCATTCCAACAGCCTGTCCTGGGCTTGTGCCTTCCTGAAACTCCAGGCCTTTGCCTTTATTCTCACAGCAGAGAGGATTTTAGAGGCATCCCTTGGAAAGTGTAAGCTGAAGAAGATGCCTGGGAACTAGGGAGTTTCCTATGTAGAAAAGGGTGGGGACACTTTTGTTGGCATGAAGATGGTTGTCTTTTTCAACATGAACAGCAGATGGCAGAATGCGACATGTTTTTTTGATTCAGAGACAGCTGCTTCAAACATTTTGGAGTTTTGAAAATCTAGAAAGTTTCTGAGATCAGCTCATTCGCCTGGCAAACACCAAAAATTAGGAATTGATGTGATGTCAGCAAATTCTCCATCAGGAGCCAATCAGTTGTAACAGCCCATCTCAACTCCTTGTCATGAACTCAAATCTATAACTCGAAAACTTTTTATTATTTCACCCTTCTAAAGAGAAGATTAAAACCCATTAGAAGGAAATAATAGACTTTGGAGAGCATTTTTTTCAAAAGGTTTTAATGTACTGTTTCAGGTTTATTACTAGAACTTTCTGCATTACCCCAGAGATCATTTGACAACCCAAAGTGATGCATCTCAAATGGCAAAAAGTAGTGTGTGAAGAAATTCTGCACTCAGTGCAGGCAGGACTATACTTTCAGTAGGAATAATGAGACCTGATATTTATTCAGCACTATATGGTAGGCACTGTATTAAGCACTTTATTTTGGTAAGTTAACTTGTTTTAGTCCACTTTGTGCTGTGATAACAAAACATTATATTATTTATAATAAAAAGAAATTTGCTTTCTCACAAGTCTGGAGACTTGGGAAGTTCAACATCAAGAGTGGCATTTAGCAAGGGCCTTCTTGCTGCATCATCCCATGGCAGAAGGCAGAAGGCAGAAGGGTGAGAGACAAAGAGGCACGAACAC